TGAACCCCAGAAAAAAAGAAAAAACTCAGAAAACAAAAAAATCCAAACTTATACTGTTAAATTTTGAATTACAAAGGCTGGAAAAAATCCAACCAACCACCACTACCAACAACAACAAAAACAACCCAAGAATCAGCTATTCCCTGGAAAGAGGGCTGAAGAAGTTACTGTCAACAGCTCACTTGAAAAACCCCTGTTCTGTGGCCATTCCTAACTTCATGCCAATTAAAAGTGACTATCGCCTACCCATTTTATTCATTTTTATCCATTCCCTGCGATTACAAAGGCATCTCTTGAGTTCTCTGCCTAACTCAATAAAGCCTCTACTATATTTTCTTTTCATTGTACCATGAGATGCCTTTTAAGATGCTCTCCCTTACTGGAAAGACTACTAATAAATCCATGTTTCTGTCTGGTGCAGGCTTTTCTGGATATCTTTGTGGGGATTCTAACATTAATAAATAAAGAGGCTATTTAAACCTGTGCTGATTTATCTCATTTTAATATGCCAGTCTTACTAAATATAATTGTCTGGCTTTAAATGGAGATATTAGTTTATTTTTCCAAGTTTAAAATACTAGATGTTGAGTTATTAAAATATATAGTTCCATTCATGATCATAATTAAGAGTTATTGAAAAGAAAGAGATACTATTTCAAAATCTCAGTAATACAACCTATGTTAGTACAAAATCTACAGCCAAGTCTGTTGCTGGCTAGAAAGACATGAAACATCAATTTTTTTTTTTTTAACCAGAAAAACTAGTTAAATCTCTTTTCTCATAAACACTGTCATAAGGACAGCACATCTCCTGATAGGTTCAAATAGGACACTGTTTCTGAAAGAGTAGCTCATATGTTTAGGTAACAGTCCTGGAGTTCTCCAAGTTTAGACTAAACTTTGATATTCAAGAAACTTCAGGTTGCTGAGCTTTGTATTCTTAATATCTATCTTAGTGTTGGAGACATCGTGTATATTGAGTAATCACGTTTTAGGTATTTGACATTTTAGGTAAATGTGGGAGCTTTTGAGGTTCTTAAACACAACACAAATTTGAGAATATGTTGAAGAAAAGCCTATCAATTTTAGAAGCTCCTTAGATCAGATGTGTAGGTTCTGCTCTTCCTTTGAAGATTCCCAATGTTTGGAAGATAAAGGCAGGGTCAACTGCCTTGTAATCTTGGTAGGTTAAGTTGCTGGGCTTCTTTCTCTTGGCCTTCCTGCTTTCCTCTTTAACTGCCATTCCCTTCCTCTCAAAACTGTAAGTAACCTAGACAAACACTAACAACTTACTGATGAGTCTAGAAAGACTTCATCATGTAATACAAGTAATGTAATCCTCCTCAGCGCACAAAGTACTACCACCACCCATGTTTCAAGTTATCAGCTCAACCCTTGGGACCAATTATTTAATCAAATCATCACTACTGCAATATATGCATAATTTTAGAGACAATCCTTTATTTGCACAAATAAGGCTTGCACAAATAAGTGACAGAAATGTTTGTAACCTTAAATACAAAGGTCTTTGAACTACAAATAGGTCCACTCCGGATTTTGAGCTTTTAAAAATAGCTCCAATCCCCGTATTTCAGATTTCTTCTTCTTATACAATATAGTCAAAGTTGAGAATATTGACAAGCCACAATCTAGCAGTGAGAAGAATCCAGAGACATCATCCACTCCTACCCTAAACAGGGTCACTAGTGCTTACTACACACAGGTTTTTGTAATCTCCTTTGATAAGTATTTTTGAGTGTTTCAGCACCTTTGTTATATTTAATTAAATTATGCTAATTTCCTCTTGCTTTATTCTTGAAAAAGAGTCAAGATAACTATCAGGATGAGTTGTGATAAAGCAGGCTCAGACTCTCTGGTGTAACTATTTCCCCAGTGGAACTAGGAGATGTTTGTATGTAATACAGTAAGATGGCTTATTTCTCAAACTTCTCAGCAAGCTAACAATGCAGCTTTTGGTCTGAGACTAATTTATAAACTTAGACCAAAACCCAGGCTAAACAGAAATTTAGAATATGGATAATTACCAAATAAGGCATTTTAACAATAGCAAAGGTAGCTTCCTATTTACTAGGTAAATGACATGATCAATTCCTTTCAGTTTTGTCTGAATTAGTTTAGTGCCCTGACATGAAGTTTACCAATGCCAAATTTAGCCATTTTCTGGAACAATTTCAAATGTAAACTATAAACAGTATAGGTATGGTCAAAATATATCCTCCAAATAATGTTCCACCGTTTAACTTCAAATAGCGAACAGATTACCTTCCCATGCCACTTCAAAAAATCAAGAAGAAAATAAAACAACAACAATAATCAACAAAAATAACAGTTAGTTGTCCCAAGGAAGGAAAATGTTGGCCCAGGTAGTTAGTCTACATACAAAGTCCTCACCTATGTTTCAGGGTTAGTCTAGGTTAAACAGAAATACGTTGAATGACCATCATGTGATAAACACATCATATATATTTTCTTTAATCCTTGTAATAGGTCTCTAAACTTTAGAAGTCTTATTATATATAAATGTAGTCTTCAAAAAGTTAAGTGAGTTGCCTGAAATTATTTAGCAGGTAAAGGAGAAAAGTAGTTAGCTGTATCCTGATATGATTCGCTTGCCAATTCAAGAAGGATAAAGATTCAATTTATGGCCAGAACCGAAACCCAACTAGTAAGAGCAGAAAAATGTTTTAGGATCAATAATTTCATATTAAAGATGAGCCAGTGTCTTGAACCTTGTAGTAACGGAATAGCACAAGGGCTATTCTTTCAGTAGAATGTTAGATGTTTCCACAGTGTGGTGCCCTTCTATTAGCTCTACTAGATTTCTAAGAAATTCAGCCATGAATATGAGCCAGGTGAGCAGCATAGCCAGACTTCCAAATTACCCACATGTGGATACTTTTAATAAGTCTCGTTTTCTCGTAGTAAGTTTTTCGGAATAAAGTTTTCCACAGTGTGAAATGATCCATTATTCCATGGCATTATATCAAACACTTACTCCAGTATTGGAGATTTATAGAGAGATTAGGTGAACTAAATTGCTCAATTTACTTGTTCCAATTTTTTTTAAAATACTAACTCAAAAGCGATCACACAGAATCTTAGGGATCTACGCAATCAGAGCTAGTTGTTATATTACCAATTTAATTTTGCTGATTCTTCTTTGAAGTCCTCACATTAACAAGGCTCTTTATGATAATAAACATAATTTTCTTTGTAGCTCTACATTTATAATGCTGACTAGGAATTCTAAGTACTTTCAAGTAGAGTATGATCTATAAAGCAAGACAAAGACTGAAAAGCTCATTGGATTCAGAAACATGAGCTTACTTTAGTGAGCACCATTTTAGTGCAACAATGAAAGAAGACAGGATTAGCATAGGTTGCAAGGAGGACAGAGGAAGGAAAGAAATCAGACAAAATAGGATTTTTTAAAAACTTCAGTTTTTGGAATCAGAGAGCTAGATCAGTACCTTTTTAGAAAAGAAAGAGGATGTATTGTGGAGTGGTCTCCAGTTTGAGATAAGAAACAAGCCCACAATTTATATGAAATGGGAATCAAAATAGTTTCAGTCATAATATACTTACATTTTATGCCATATATTTTTATGGTTGAACTGAGCCAAGCTCCTGGAGCTAGCTGACATTCTAACCTAAAGATACCTCAAATGTAAACCTGCAGCTATCTTCCGTTTATATTTCCTCACAGAGAGGTGAAAAGTATGCTGAATGGATGCATAACAGACTAACAAGTCTTTTATCATTGTTTAAAGGAAGATAATCACATGTGTGGACCTTTAACATGTTTGTTATTCTTATATTATGTACTTTATATGTAATGACATGGTGATCTATTAGAAGACAGTACATGGCAATGAAATTATTCTTTTGGAGTATTAAATATTCTATACTCACAAGCCATGCTACCCTTTCTCTCACAAAATACAATATCTTGGTAGAGCAAAGATCTATTCTGGCTTAGAAATCAAATCTCTTGGTCATTCAGTTCTAAATCTGTACGAAGTATATTGTCAAATCTAAAAGGTAGATGGCAGGCGTCAAATAGACACAAGAACCTGACAAGACAGCTCCTGCTAGGAACTGTTTACCTTCGTAATGAAGCCACTAACAGAAATGCCAACACAAAGTTGTTTCTTGATCATATTTGTGTAAAAAGCTAAGTTAAACTTTTTCCCCTTAGGTCTGGGACCAGAACCTGCTGCCACCTGCTCACTGCCTAGTGTCCTACAACCGAGCCAAGCCTCCAATCTCTAACTTTTTTTTTTTTTTTGGGTCCAGTCGTGGGGCCTGAACTCTGGGCCTGGGCGCTGTCCCTAAGCTCTTCAGCTCAAGGCTAGCACTCTACCACTTGAGCCACAGCGCCACTTCCAGCTTTTTTCTTATATGGTGCTGAGGAATCGAACCCAGGGTCTCAGGCATGCAAGGCAAGCGCTCTACCACTGAGCCACCTTCCCAGCCCCTCTAAGTTAAACTTTTAGAAATACTGAAGAGGTTATAACTTAGGAACTAAAAAACTGTTGAGCTAAAATTCAGCTTAAAGAGGGAAGCAAGTTGTATATGCTAAAGGTAAAAGAAAACAAGTCTACCTATATACCAAAAATTCTGAAATAGCGGGAAAAAACTTAACAAAATTTGATTCATCTTAAAAATTTAGTTGCCTGATTTTAGAATTGATTTATAATTTTGCCACAAATTGTCATCAAACTTCCTGCTATAGAACAATTTCTCTGAAAACCAAGTGTTTCCAAGATGACAGGTAGCTTGTCCAACTTGGAATATGTACAAGCCTCTTTAGAGTGCCCATCATTAAAAGTCAAAAGTCACAGAACTTATCTTTAAAGAGTAAATTCAGTATCACAGAATTTCTAAAGCTTTAACCAAAATACAAAGTTGATACTGAAGGAATAGTTCAGAACATTTACCAAATGTTCTATTATACTTTGTGTAAAAAGAATACTTACCGCTATTATATCTAATGTATTGTCACAGACCTTCCTGATTTCATTATTTTTATCATGCATCAGGTCTATGAGATATGCTGGAGCTTCTGAATAAAAATGGTTAAAGATAAAATAACTGAACTGTGATTGTGACACTTCAATTAGAAAATCCCACAAGTCTCTATATTTAAATGCTAAGCGGAAATTTTACTTCATATTTTAATATAAAATCATTGTACAAGATGACCGAAAACACTATTTAATTTCTGTAAAAAAAAAAAAAAAGGTAAGCAGAGTAGAGACATCAAAAGAGAAAAATGTAGGTAAGGAGAAAAAAACAACAACAAATATCGGAAGTGTAAGGCCATTGTTTTGAGGACAGGAAAATGATGAAAATCAACAAAGAGGTAGCTGTTGATCTGTGTAGCTAAGGTTACAACTTTCTTCTTTTTACTTTTGTTTTCATGCCAGTACTGGGGCTTGAACTCTGGGCCTCACATTATTGCTGGGCTTTTTCACTCAAGTCTAGCACTCTGTCATTTGATTTACACCTCCACTTCATGGACTTTTCTGCTCAGGTTGGTTTCAAATCTTGATTCTCAGATTTTAGCCTCCTCACTAAGATTATAGATGTAAGCTACTGATACCCCTTGTCCCCCTATCCTAGAATCCGTTTACCTATTTTAGTATAAAAGTTCAAGTAAACTTACGTCACATAAAAATGAACAACAGAAAAGAATCACATCCAAACTGAACTAAATGATTATTATAAGAACAAAAACCAAAGGGAGATATGATAAAAATATTTTCACTACAGAAAGCATTTTTTAAAGACAGAGATTTTAAAATAATAAATACATATATGAACAAACAACATGAAGCAGAATTAGAAAATTCAGAGAAATAATTCAGAAAAGAACCTAAAATAAAGATGAAAACATCTTTTCAAATCAACACTAAATGTAAAATAACACAAAATAAATGCAAAAGAAGCCACAAGAAATAGAAAGCAAAAAAAAGAAAACTACAAAATTAAACAAATAAAAAGATCAGAAAGGTATAGACATAAAGAGCTAATATAATAACACAAAAGAAGAAAATGTAATTGAACAAAATACTAAAAATTACAATTCAAGACCATTTTTCAGATATGGATTAAAATATGACAAAACTCCACATATGCAAAGTATATTTAGAAAAATAACTAAGAACAACTCAAAATGTAGTGAAACAGCTTAATTGTGAAGAAAACAAATATCCCGGCAAAGGCTTTTTTAGGGAAAGGAAACTAACCTGTCATCAGACTTTAGGGAGAGTAATACTAAGCAGACTGACTCTAGACTTCTCACTGGTAGCAAAATGCGGGCCAGGCCAGCGGAAAACTGCCTAGTGTCAGCTATATTCTGCTAGACTAGTACTGAAGAGGGCAAATTTGTTATTCCCAGAGATCTACCTTGTCATTTATAAGTAATATTTCTAAGTATAAAATATTTCACTTTGAAAGACAATCAACTCAGAGGAATAGAGGACTACAAGAAAAAGTAACGAAGACATTGAATGGCAACAGCATGCAGAATCTTCTTTAGATTGCACTATGCTAGGCACAGTGGAAGATATCTCCATTGCAGTTAAGAGAAAATTCCTGAGGTGTTTTGCAGTTATTAAATACTTGACATATGGATGACAGCCAAAGTCATTTGAACAGATGCACTTTCCCATATAGAGTAAATAAGATTAGAAGAGGACTAAGTAGTCCTAGGAACCTCTGAAATTTAAGTTAACAGAGAAGGAAGTTCTGAAAATGTTTAAGCTTCTAGGAATCAAAATTAGACAAGTTGATAAATTGTTCTCATTAAATTTTATCCACATATAGATTGAATATTCTTTATCCAAAATGTTTGCAAACAGAAGTTCCTACTTTCAGATTATTCATTTCAGTTCTGGAGTATTTAGTTTTACATAATGAGTGTTTTGGGGAAGAGACCAAAGTCTAAACATAAACCCATTTCTATATATCTTATATGCACAGATTGAAGGTAATTTCTGTGCACCTGTGTTTTGACTGTAACTACTTACATGAGGCAGATTTCTACCAAACATTTCAGATTTTGGAGCATTTTAGATTTCTGATTTTCAGACTAGGGATAGTCAACCTGTGCTAACTTAGAATAAACAATTCCAATGGAAAATACCCTGTGAGCTAAACTTATTTCCAAGTTTAATGCTTTCTATGTATTTCAACATCTGCAGGAAGAAAAAACCCAAGATGTATGTTTCCTTAATGTGCAAAATGTAATTATATAAAAGTTGAAAGGATACGTGTTTCCTTGATTATAACATCTCTTGTGGCTTGGTGGAAAACCATCTGGTAGAAGACATAAATTATCTGGCATACAAATTCATCATCTTCTTGTTGAGCTGAAAGAGGAAAAAGAAACTTCACATGAAAGAATACTATACTCATAGTATATAAGCAAACAGAAAAACATTTTAGGTAAAAACAAAATGAGTAAAACTAAAAGTGAGGAGCAAGTAAAAGGCAATTAATTTAAATTATTTGTAATACCGGGTGATATATATCATCTGTACCTAATCAATAAACAAATTTCATAATGACATGTTGTCAGAAATTATATTAGATAGGTTCCTGGTAGTTACATAGACAGGTGCTTATTTTGAAATAGGAACAGAAACATCAAGATTTTGAAAAAAAAAAAAAAGCTTTGTTATCTCTGAGGTTAAACTACACTACTTGAGATAATTCATATCAAGAGATTACATAGCTTGAGGAATCTGGGGACAAATCTGGTTTAGGAGCTTAAACTGGGGCTTGAACTCTGAACTCTAAGATCTTGCTTGGCTTTTTTACTCATGTCTAACTCTGCTATTTGAGGCATGTCTCTAGTTCCAATGTTTAGCTGGTTAATTGCAAATAAGAGTCTCTTGGATTTGTCTGCCTGAACTGGATTACATCCTCCTGAGTTGCGAGGCTTACAGAAGTGAGCTACCCCAATTGAGCTGAGGAAAACAATTCTTAAAGTAGATGACACTTTCTAAATTTTAGGTTTTTGTTAGAAATGACACAATCGGGCTGGGATTTAGCTCAGTGGTAAATGACACAATCAGGCTGGGATATAGCTCAGTGGTAGAACACTTTATGCACAAGGCCCCTGGCTTTGATTTACTAGTACCACGAAAAACAAAGGACAGAAAAGGAGAAGGTTTGAAGGAAGGAGGTAAAGAAAGAGAAAGAACTGGCCCATTAGAAAAAGAGATATTTTGTCTTGTTGAATAATACTTAAAAAACTGAACTTTACATACTGGCATAAAGTATTTTAGTTTCTATCTAATTATAGTGATAAAGTTATATAATCAGATCAGCTAATTAATAAATGGTTAATATCACACAAATAATTTAACATAATTTCAGAAATATAAATACTAGCTACAAAATTTGATTTGCTAAGTTTGGCATAAACTCTTGGTCATACAGTTCCATGATATGTTAGAAACATATTTCCTGACTGACACAGTATCTAACTAGTTGTAGAGTATATTGTGGGGTCCTTAAAGCTCAATCTGTCCTAAATGAGCTCTTTCACTAACTTCCTAAAACTAACTAGGCTGAAATTTTCACTATTAATTATTCTCTTGATACAATGTTCTCTACTTAACCATAAAGTTTTCTTTCTTAACCTTGAAAAACCAATATATACTTCCTTAAAAGAATATCACATAGTCTATGATATAATAACCTCACACCAGAGAACATCAAAACACTGTAAAACACTAAGCTAGCTGGCTTTGTTAACTTTGCTTAACCTACAGCTAAATTCTCTCAAGTCACTGTAGGAAGCAATTCCAGAGCAAAGAATCCTTCAACTTTCACCAGCTCTCCATGAAATCTTTATTCTCATTTATTCTACCATCTTGCCTTCGCCCCCCTCAACTCTCTAGTAGCTCAGTATCTTACTTAATTACTTCTAATATAAAAACGCTCTGTGAGAAGGGTATATTCAAAGTAAACACATATGGATCATTTTAAAAGGAATACTTAAAAAATACGGCAGGGGCTGGCAAAGTGGCTCAGTGGTAGAGTGCCTGCCTTGTGCATGAGGCCCTGGGTTCGATTCCTCAGCACCACATAAGCAGAAAAAGCCAGAAGTGGCGCTGTGGCTCCAGTGATAAAGCACTAGCCTTGAGCTGAAGAGCTGAGGGACAGGGCCCAGGCTCAGAGTTCAGGCCCCACAACCGACAAAAAAACAAAACAAAACAAACAAGAACTACAACAACAACAAAAAACAGGCATTATGTCTATTAAGATATATTGTGTTAAAAGTTTACAATGCAAATTTTAAAAAATCAAGAGAGAAAGGTATAAAGTACTTTAAAAAGCATTCCATTCCCCTGTCCATATCTAATGATCAATAAACACAAACAAGTGCTCAATTTTATTAATCATTAGGGAAAGGCAAATTAAAACTACAATGAGATCACACTAAGAAGACTACAATTAAAGGGACAACAATGCTCAGAGTTGTAGTGATACAGAACAACTGTAACCCTCCTACTTTGATTTTTTGGCTGAAAATTCACCCAGCTACTTTGGTAAACAGATTGGCAGCACTTATTAAAGCCAATCACATACACACTCTTTGGCCTAGGAATTCTACTCTGATGTATGTATCTAATAGAAATGACTACATATGTTTACCAAATAAAAAGTTTAATATGCTCTTAAGGAATATTATTAAAAATAGTCTTCCCCTAAAACAAACTCCACAAAACTTAGCCCTACTACCCACGGACAGTACAAAGGAAATGATATATTTTTATAATACAGTACTATACACAGCAATAAAAAATGAACAAACTTCTGTAAATAACATAGATGAGTCTCACAAATATAATGTAGGACAAACTAAACCAGATTTTACTTATGTCAAGTTAAAACTCAAGCAAAACTAATTTATCTATGATAAGATAACGACCACTTTGGTGGAGGTTGTATTGGGAAAGGAAATAGGTACTTCTGTGATACTGACAATTTTTACTTCCCTATGTGGGTAAAACAATCTATTGTATTCTTTAGATGCCTCATATTCACATTTTAAACTTTAATATTACTAGCTGCTTTTAAAGTATAAGATGCTACAGAACTTGGCACTGATATTTCATTTGTGTACATTCTGTGTGGATTTTGGAGAACAATGTGCCCTGACTTTGTGTGAGCAATACAAACACAAGGGTATGACTCTAGGCCTATGATGTCTACTGTAGCTACATGCTAGGACAGCTAATTACATGAAAATTAAATTAAAATTGTGGTTCTAGCTGGGCGCTGGTGGCTCACGCCTGTAATCCTAGCTACTCAGGAGGCTGAGATCTGAGGATCCAGGTTCAAAGCCAGCCCCGGGAAGGAAAGGCCGTGAGACTCTTACCTCCAATAAACCACCAGAAAACTGGAAGTGGCCCCGTGGCTCAAGTGGTAGAGCGCTAGCTTTGAGCTGAAGAGCTGAGGGACAGCGCCCAAGCCCAGAGTTCAAGCCCCACAACTGACCTCCCCCCCAAAATAATAAAATTGTGGTTCTCGGTTCTGACAGTGTTTGATAGCTATGCAGTCTAGATAGCATAGAACAATTCCATCAACACAGAAAACCAACATGCAAAGTTGGACAGAAAGAAGAAATGATGCAGTACTATTTGTAGGTAATTGTCTATACAATTATTTCTGAATTACTTTATGCCAATATTCTTAACTTTGCAACCTAAATCTCTATCCAATCTTAGTTTATTCCTTGCTTCATTTTGTTTCTTTGAGATAGAGTCTTGCTATTTAATCCAATTCACTAGACTGATCTGAAAATTACCATCTCCCTGTCTTGCCTCCAAGAAGCTGGAATTACAGGTATGTACCTTCGCATGTGTTTTAATTCATTTTCCTAAATTAACTATATAATTTAAGTTTCTATGATTAATATAACAAGGTAATGTAATACTCTTTCATGTTGCAGACTTTGAGATTTAAATTTTAAAATAACATATTTAGACATTAACATGAAAAACTTTAATTACCATTGAGTAATTCAATCAGTGCAGGGATTATCCCAGATTTAGCTAGCAGTGCAGCACAAGAATCATCCATAGACACAGTTCCAATCATTATCACCACTTCTAAAACGAGGTCATCTTCTGCAGTACCTACGAAAGGCAATTGTAGAAAATTTTCATTAACATGTCCTGATTGACACCTACTTGTATTATCAAAACTTCAATGCATAAGGACAATGAAGCAAGTTCTTGTGAATCTTTGACATAGTTATAAATTTTTCATTTTGCCAAATTTTCCATCTTTGCTGATGACAACTTTGAAAATACTACTGAATGATAACGTAGGCAGAAAATAAAGTATTTTGAATATTTCAAAGAGCTGTGTGTGTGTGTGTGTGTGTGTGTGAGAGAGAGAGAGAGAGAGAGAGAGAGAGAGAAAGAGAGAGAGAGAAAGAGAATCTTTCTACTTGAGAAGAAGGTGGTATTTGGTAACTTATAAAGAGATAACTAAAAAAGTTTTAAGAAAAAGGGAAGGGAAACTAATACCAAAAGAATATATTGTTAAGGAAATGAGAATATATAGGTAAGACAGGACAGTAGAACCTTTTTGAGAATGGAATTATGGTAAGAATATACTTTGCTTAAACAACAGTAACCACAGTGTTATTTTAACAGCTTTATCTAAAAGAATAATTATGCAAAAGTGAAATGTGAAATACTCAGCACAGACCTGGCTTTAGTTTATCCTTAAGGTATGGAACTAACTTGTACTCCTTCAGAACCAGTTCCCAGTCTAAATCTGGAATGGTAAGATTTGCCAGAGTTCCCAAACACTCAATCACAAATTCCTCCTCTTCATCGCTGGAGATCTGAGCTGCAAGGTCCCCAACATAATCCTGAGGACAGCAGAATTTCAACAGTTAAAATATTATCTCTGAGAAGAGCAAATGTGGTAAGTTTACCATGGGAAAAAACATAAGTATCAGAAGAAATTCTTCACTTGATCTTAGCCAAAAGGCCGAGAAGCGATTCAGAAGAAATTCTTATGTTTGATACTCTGGACTTAGCGTCCTCAGAGAGCCTCCTGGTGATGCCCACAGAATGGAGGGTTTGAGAATAGACAACAAACCCAAACCACCACCTTACAGTGCAGACTGGGATTTCCAAGAGCTAAACTTACAAGGAGGTTTAAAACGGAAGAGCCATTTTAGTCATGAATATTTGATTAGAGCTCAGTAATAATTGTCTTTCTAAATGTATGAATGTACAATTATCAATGTACAATTTACAACCCTCAGATCCACTTTACTAGAAAACAAAGAAACTATATTTACAATAAACAGCTTTTTGGTCGGTCCGTCATGCTGGGAAATGTTCCTAATCATTTTCATCAGTAACGGGTCCTTGAACTTTAGGGCCCTTTTCATGAGCATCTTCAATCCATTTCCTGAAACAAAAAGCAGAAAATTCCCTAAGAAAATTAGCTTTTTTTTTTCTTTTTTTAAATTTTTTTATTGGTCAGCTCTTCAGCTCAAGGCGAGCGCTCTACCACTTGAGCCACAGCTCCACTTCCGGCTTTTTTTTTTTTTTTTTTTTTTTTGCCTATGTGGTGCTGAGGAATCGAACACAGGGCCTCATGCATGCAAGGCAAAGTGCTCTACCACTGAGCCACCTTCCCAGCCCTGAAAATTAACTTGTTTAATGATTATTTTTGTTTTGTTACAAAAATTTACATCTAGTAAAATATTCAAACCTTAAGTGTCAAATTAGATTTAGATAAATGAGCGCACTTGTGCAACCATACTGTACAATAATACATAGGAACTATCTCCTGCTCGCTCCAGAAAGCTCCTTCTGTGCCTCTCCTAGTAAATTCTGTTCTCTAGATACAATACTTTCTTTTTTCCTCCTCCTCTTCTGCCTTTTCTATTTATTCTACTTAAAATACAGTTTTATTATCTACAAGTTCATAAAAATAGGCCTGTACGGTTTATGATCTTTTGAGTTTGGAATATACACCACAAATTTAAAAAAATACTTATAATCCAGGAAAAATTATACTTCTACAAACTTATCCTAAGAATAGAAAACAAAAATTCAGAGAAAGGAAAATATAGTGATTCATGCTTGTATTCCCAACAGTGGCCAAAGACCCTCTATATTCAAGGCCAGTCTGGAGGCAAAATTCAGAGAAAAAATAATTAGTACAACATTATTTGTAATACAAACAAAGTGCCAACAAACTACATATAAAATACTGGAGCCGGGCGCTGATGGCTCACCTCTGTAATCCTAGCTACTCAGGAGGCTGAGATCTGAGGATCATGGTTCAGAGCCAGCCTGGGCAGAAAAGTCTGTGAGACTCTTATCTCCAATAAACCACTAGAAAACCAGAAGTGGCGCTGTGGCTCAAGCAGTAGAGTGCTTGCCCTGAGCTGAAGAGCACAGGGACAAAGCTCAAGCCCAGAGTTCAAGCCCCATGACTGACCAAAAAAAAACAAAAACAAAACAAACAAAAAAATGGAATAAATTATGGCAAAATTGTTTTATAAAAGTATTTAATCATGTAAAATGATATTCAAGATACTAAACATAAAAGATAATCATGAGAATTACATTTTTATTTTAAAATAAAAATATAATGAATCATTAAACCAATTTGACTTATATTTATCTCTAGGTGATCAAAGATTTAATTATTTTTCCCATTTTTTAATTTGTACTTTTATGAACATTTCCTACATATTCTGCCTTTCTTTCTTTCCTTCTTTGTTTGTTTTGTTCTTCATTGGAGACTGACACCAGGGCCTGTGCATGTGAGGCAGAGCTCTACTACCTGAGCCAGGCCTACTCCCTTTGTGCACTGAATTGCCTACTTGTGCCCATGCTGTGGGCAGCCAACACGGCATCTGGCCATGTGCTTCTGTGCTTCTGTGTAGCTGAGAAAACAAGTGTGTGGGAAAACAATGGGGTAGCCAGCCAATAACAGAGATGGTGTCTGGCATGCTTTTTTTTTTTTTTTATAACCAGGCTGGCCATGAACTGCAGTCCCTTGCTCTCCGCCTCCAAAGCAGCCAGCATTACAGGCTTGAGCTAACGCACCCAGCTTATACTGCTTTCCAAGCACATAAAATACAAATCCAAAACCTTTTTACTGAAATACAGAAACAATGACCTAATATACTTGTATTTTACTACTGTTCATTGTGAGTGGTAAATAAAATTTTCTTTTCATATAGAAAAAGTTAAAAAAAATTACCTTTCAGCTAAGCACTGGTGGCTATTCAAAAGACCGAGATCAGAGGACCTTGGTTTGAAGCTAGTCTCAACAAAAAGTCCCTGAGATCTACTTCAATTAACCAGCAAAACTGTTGTACTAGGGCTGAGAATGTGGCTGAGTGGCAGAGTGCTTGCCTAGCATGCACGAAGCCCTGGGTTTGATTCCTTAGTAACACCTACGCAGAAAAAGCCAGAAGTGGTGCTGTGGCTCACGTGTAGAGAGCTAGACTGAGCATAGAGAGGCTCAAGGACAGTGCCCAGGCCCCGAGTTCAAGCTCCAGGATCAGCAAAACAAAAAACAAAAAATGTTGCACTAGAGGTATGGCTTAAGTGGTAGTGCGCCAGTTGTTAGAGAGCAAGCCCTGAGTTCACACAGGCCCTGAGTTCAGGCCTCAGAACAGTAATAAAATAAATATATTTTATATCATATATATATATGTATATATATAAAATTTCAAATCAGCACTGACATTGGTTTGTAAAATGTTCCTGAAAGTATCTCCACTCATGTCAGAAAATTATAGCTATAATGAAGAAACTATTTAAAGATAGAACTTACATTTATTCTGTAACTGTTAGCTCCTTATTATCTGCTTTCCATTCTGTGCCAATTATATGACAAGGAGGTTATTTATGAAGGTCAAAGGCACTCACCTTCACAGATAAGCTGTACATTTCTCTTGTTAGCAGCAAGATTAATGCAAAAGGAAATCAGTTCCAAGTCAATTCGTTCATCTGAACATTCAAAGAGCATCTTCATTAACTAGCAAAAAACACAGGACATACTTAACTCAAAACAGAAACTCAACTTTTTGAAGCAGAATCTGATAATGTGTGATCTTATATCATATACTGGAATATAATGTAATGTAATCTACATTTCAACACAAAACTAGCATGACTGATTCACAGGTGATGAATGAGATGCTCAGTAATGTAAGTTACCAAGTACAACGGAGGACAGAGAACTATTAGGTAAGCCTCTGCAGTTAAGAAATGAAAAATACTGCTTGGAAGTTGAGCATTTCAAGCATTACAGGAAAAAATGTAACTTTTCTAAAGGACTAAGTGAAATCTCAAAGATTGATTAGAGTTTTAATTAGGAGATAGAAATAAAATGTGACTTCATAGCTGAATAGACACTGGGGTTCAGGTAGGAGAAGGAGTCAAAGATGACTCTCAAGATCTTTTTTTGTTGTTCATGGGCCAGAACTATGGGCCTGAACTCTGGGCCTGGGCACTGTCCCTGAGCTCTTCAGCTCAAGGCTAGCGCTCTTCCACTTGAACCACAGCGCCACTTCCAGTTTTTTCTGCTTAAGTGGTATTGAGGAAATCAAACCCAGGGCCTCATGCATGCCAAGCGAGCACTCTACCACTGAGCTGCCTTCCCAGCCCCAACTCTCAATTGTACCTAGCAATGACTTGGATGATGGTACATATCCCCCCAATAATATAAAACCAGTCTAGGACAAAAATCTTAAATGATAATCCAGTTTTGATTTTATGTGTGTTGAGTTAAAGCTGCATAAGACAGTCTAGAAAGTGCAGGTATTCAGCAGGAAGTTGCAATTGTACATCTGGATTTATGTCTTGACTGAAAGTACATTAGGAATTGTCTTATATGGCTGATAACGGAAGTTGTAGGCAAGACAGTATAGATTAAAATCAATGATAAAGGGAAAAGGATCTGAGAAGAGGCAGACAAAATGCTAGGAAAAAGTTGGTTACCTATGCCAACTGACAATAATCTAGACTTTTCATTAGTAATATTTGCCAAAAAAAAAAAAAGAACTTTTGATGGTTTGGAGAAGAGAGTTTTCTATTTTAGGCAAATCAGCAAACTAAGTGTATATTATGTAAGGATATATTTCTCCAAGTCCAATTTGCTACTAGATATGGAAGCTACTCCTAAGATTTATAAAATATGGAAATTAAAAAATTCCATATTTAATCTTGGGGCAATACTTTGTTTTTAGAATAAAATACGGCTTCATGAATCGGACACGTTTTAGACCTCATTCTGTTAACTCTTGTTTTGACTGCTCATTGTGTTAATCCCATCCCCTCTTTTCTTGCGGGAGTGGGGGGCTGGGAGGGGGAGGCATGCTATGGCTTGAAGTCAGGGCCATGTGCTGCTAGGCTAGCTATCTGACGTGAGCCACCCCCAACCTCTTTCAGATAACTTCTGAGTTTCAAAAAGGATATATGACCAACATGCAAAAATAGTCATTGCTATGTGCTAGAACAAACAGCTGGAAACCAGAGTCAAAAACATCACTCCAGTTGTTAGGTATCATTCTTACAAAAGCACTGATCTATATGCTGGAAGTAGCAGCAGAATGATTTGGCATATAGCATGCCTTTCCTAACACTGCAGCTCCTAACCACCATGTTATACGGGAGTAATAACACTTAATAATGCTTTAGACTAAAAAGATTCTCTAGTAAATATAAAATTCAGTGGATATATATATATATATCTCAAATGTTGCTATCATCCATGTAATATATATATATATATATATATGACAAATAAATGTATAGGCATGTGTATAAAATTGCCAGTATAAAACCTGATAATGAGTAAAATGTGATAATTCTTTAATATGTTTTCATACTAGAATGCAAAATTTACTATAGATGTCTTCTGAATTTTTACTACTATTGAGAAACATTTTAATAATGAAAATCCGTTAAATTGAAGTGATGTTTTAAACACACAAAATAGGTGCAGAAGCTCATGTCTGTAATCCTACCTACTCAGGAGACTGAGATCTGAAGATTGAGGTTCAAAGCCAGCCTGGGCAGGAAAGTCTGTGAGACTGTCATTTCCAATTAATTACCAAAAAGCTGGAAAGTATCACTCAAGTGGTAGAGTGCTTAGCCTCCAGTGAAAAAGCTAGGGTAGTTTTCTGGTTCTGAGTTCAAGCCCCAGTACCATCATAAACAAAACAAAAGGAAAATAAACCCAAAAACATGTATTACTAATACAAAGTGTGCATTTCAAACTAGCCTTTGGAATTTGGAAAATTACCCTTGAAAACAGAGGTACAGGTGATTTGTTTAGAAGTGAGGGATTAAAAATAAATTTTTATGTCAAATTACATGTGGAAAAAAATCAGAAGCTACATTTAAAAAAATGTACATGTTTCAAAAATTAACTGCACTTTCATCCTCACAATAGAGATAAATTAGGACTAAGTATGAACAGAATGTATTATAATATGGAATGTTTTTCATGAGAGAAATGCTTCAATATTAATGAAAGCATTCAAATTTAAAATGCTTAATTCAAACTCCAAGCAACAGAACAACATTGTCTTCAATTTGATTGCTACCCAGAGTACTTCAAAAGTAAGTGTAATCACTGGCAACTAGGAAATATTAAAATTAGATTTGTTCTGTTTTAGCGGTCTGTTGTCATCTTTTAGTAATTTAACAGGAAAGCCCTGAAAGGGTTTTAGCCTGTGCAATGAAGAAGCACTAGTGTTCAATCAGACCAGTCCCACATTGAGTATCAGATACCAAAGACCAAGACTGAAACCACTGTGTCTAGACTCTCTGGCACCTGACTTCACTTATTTACCAGTGACCAGAGACCAACCCCTGCAGCTCTCTGTACGCACATACACCTCTACCACCCCCACCCTCTACCCAAACATCTTTGAATGATTATGCCAGAACTCTGCAGGCCTCAGGAATCTCTTCTGACTGGCTACTCCCTAGCGTTCTTGTTTGAAGTGATGCTCTGGTTTCTGAACTTCAGCAGATAATGGCAGGCAAGAGCAAAGGGGGCTGTCAGAAAGGACGTTTACCAGCATTCAGCTGAAAAGAAGCATGCAGATCAAAGAGGGGCCCAATAGGACAACTGTGGTAAAAACATGTGGATCACTATGAAGACTCTTGCACTCTGTTCTAGGGTAAAAGATTAAATAACATCATGACATCACTACCTAGCCATGTACTTTGATTGGCCATCCTATTACCAATAACTACTTTTATAAGCATCTGGATAGCATTTGCACCTATTTAAACAAAACATGCATCTCAGAGGTCTAAATAACAATGAACTGTTAATGTGTACTTTTAACTATTATTAGAATACAACCATTAACTCCTGGTTATCCCAAATATGCTTACTTGAAACAATCTACCCAATGAACCCGTTAAGACTGTGTATGAAGGAAGATGAGATGGCCCTCAAATCTTGCATAATAGTGATAAATAGGCAAAGAAAATGAGAATACATTGGGCAGCTAGGTGCACTGAATTATAAAAGAAAGCAAAGCAATATAGTAATAAAGTTTCTGAGGCATGTTGCATGTAAAATCATCTACTCTGGATGTTAAATATTCTGAAAGTGAATGCTGATCTAATTATAGGTTTATCCAATAAAACACATATAAGACAGTAAATAGAACCATGAATGGGTCAAAAATAGGAAAGACTTGACATTTTATGAAGAGCACCTGACTTTTGTGCAGTTACTTGCACTACACACAGCCAGTTACGTAAGCTAAATTAGATTATATATAATTATATATACACACAATAGGATCTACTGTAATTGAAGAATGTAATCACTCTTTTCATAATCATTTAGAGTAATACGAATTATAACTGGCCAATGCTTTTCTACCTTTGGTTCTTTTAGGCTTTCTTTTGAAAATTCATGGACAATACTTGAAGATCTTTATTAAACAAATATTAATGTGCACAATTCACACAGAAAAAAATATTACGTTATCTTACAGCCATTCCAATCTTAACATGGTTTTCTTTAGGAAGTAAGTTAATCAGCTTGCTGTCACCAGTAAATTTAAGTCTCACTAGTTACAACATTATTTCTGAAAGGAATGTCTTTTTAATTCCTGAAGGAAACTTGGAAATGCCATTTAATATCTAATTTGCTTTCTATCCTTGCTTTATTTTGCAATGAACTTGGTACTGGGTTAACAATAAGTCACTTTTTCCTAAACATGTCAAAACTGGGCACTGTGAAGTACAAGTTACAGGTTGGATAGCACTTTGTGAGCAAATATATTCTGGATATCATTTGTTTTCCTCAAAACATTGCCTCCTAATAAAAAACTTCAATATGCATATAACATAACAGGGTGAATACACTCTCATGATTTCCATGAAACCTTACATTCTAAAAAGAAAACAAAAACACAAATAAAGCCCTAAAAAATCTTGAGCTTTGAATGAGTGTTGGGAAGTTTTGCTAATAAAATACAGATGATAAGTGTTCTGAAAACCCTACTAGTGACATATATGAATGACACTAGAAACAGCAAGAAAATCCATGCAGTAACATCGCTCTTAAAGAGCTACAGAAAAACTGCACAAAAATTTTAAAAAAGAAACTGATAACATCTAAAAGGTAAACAGGCTTTTGTGTTTGATTTACTGGCTTAAAATAAATTTAATATTTTATTTTTTATACTAAACATTCTAAAGGAGAAAGCTGTAAGTTATATACTCTTCCTCATTTGCACCTTTAAATTTAATGTTATTCTTTTCAAAAACTAAACTGGATAGAAAGAATCAATCTCTCCAAGAATATTATTCTTTCTTGGCTGCTTTCCAATTCATATCCTGCAGTCAATGAGATTCTGACACTAAATGAGATCGGAAAAGGAACACCCTTTGAAACTGCAAAGCAGAAAGTCCTTAGAACATGTGGAGTGTGACTGTAGTAAATCATCTGTAATCTCTTTTTGACATGGCTACTCTTTTACTGAACACTTGTTTGACAAAGGGTTTGATTACTCTGTGCATGAGCTATAGTCTGACACATTTTATCACCATAAAGGACCCTGTCTTGTTAGATAAGATGTACTGTATATTCTTTGAAGGATGTCTATTTTCTACAGCCATAATTAGTTTATCCCCTGATATGAAAGGCAAAGAAACTATCCTTCAGAGTTCACCAGTTTCTCAAATATAAGTAAAAAAAAATAATTCCAAAGAAGCATATTCAATTTTAACTCTGTCCCACTAAATTAGAATGAATAAAAGACTAATGAAAAGAGAAATTATCATCTATTTTTACTGTGTTTTAAATACTCATGTAGCCTACATTCCATAATTCATATTAGGATGACAAGGAATTGCCCAGTATTATGAGAACATTAGTATGACTGTCATATTTTCCTGAATTGCTTTTTAATAGCATTATTTTTACTATATATTATACATATTATAATTTTACTTTTCTTATATTAGAAAACTATTTTGCAAAAAATAATATAATATCAAAAGCAGCCCAACCTGGGCTTTGAATATGATATCCAGAGCTTAATTTATTCATAGTTAATGACACAATAACGATTGCATGAATGTAAATTTCCAAAGAGCACAACCACATACATAGAATCACAAACATTATGAAGCAGTCTATGAAAAAAAACTGGGGAAATGGCACGGTGGTTCATTGTGGTAAAGCACTAGCCTTGTGCACAAATTCTTAAGGACAGTGCCTAGGCCCTGAGTTCAAGCCCCAGAACTGGAGCCACAAAAACTGGGGTGTTAGAGGCATGGCTCAGTTGGTAGAGTGCAGCCAATGAACAAAAATGTGTAATAACAAGTTTGAACCCTGGTCACAGGGGAAAAAAAAACTGGTAATCTCCTTCAACATAAGTAAACCTAACATTAGAAGTATATCAAGCAATAGAGTCAAAGAAAAATCTTTCTTGAAAACAGGGCTATTGAACCAAAAGAATTTTTTTTCTTTGTCAGTCGTGGGGCCTGAACTCTGGGCCTGGGCACTGTCCCTCAGCTCTTCAGTTCAAGGCTAGCGCTCTACCACTTCTGCCACAATACCACTTCTGGCCTTTTCTGCTTGTGTGGTGCTGAGCAATCAAACACAGGGCCTCATGCATTCAAGGCAAGCGCTCTATCACTGAGCCACCTTCCCGGCCCGAAAACCACAAGAATTTTGATGAAACATTTTTCCATTAGAGAATGTGAACCACTAAAAAATTAACTATATACAAGATTAAAATGTAAATTATTAACTTGAGAAATATTCATAGTACAGAATTAGCTATATATATTGCTTTTATTTATTGATAAAATAAATATATATTGATAAAATATTGATAAAATGTTAATAGAAAAAAAATACTAGAATATGGAAAATAAACACATGAAACATGTTCAACTTCAGTAAACACCCATGAAAATGCAAATACATAGAAAAATTGATCCCCTATATTTTAGAGAGAAATTAATAACTGCTACTGTTAAAAGTGAAGTACTAGGGGCTGGGAAGGTGGCTCAGTGGTAGAGCGTTTGCCTTGCATGCCTGAAGCCCTGGGTTCGATTCCTCAGCCCCACATAAGAAAAAAAGCCGGAAGTGGCGCTGTGGCTCAAGTGGTAGAGCGCTAGCCTTGAGCTGAAGAGCTGAGGGACAGCGCCCAGGCCCAGAGTTCAGGCCCCACGACCGGACCAAAAAAAAAAAAGTGAAGTACTAGTTGGAAATATAAATGAATGCCTTTGTAGCATTTGGCCTAAATGTGTCAAAGGCACAAATGTTCACATATTTTGATGCTTATTTGAATTTTAGAAATTTAAACTAAAGAAACATTCATAGATGTGGATGAGAATTTACAATTATGATATTTATAATATTTTCATTTATTTTGTTTGCTAAACTATAAACATTTTCAAAGAATGTTCAGTGATATGAAAACATACCATGATTAAGTGATAAAGCAACATATAAAATTACATATACAATATAATCCCTATATATATATATATATATAAAATTTTTTTTTTTTTTGGGGGGGTCGGTCATGGGGCTTGAACTCTGTGCTTGGGCGCTGTCCCTCAGCTCTTTAGCTCAAGGCGAGGGCTCTACCACTTGAGCTACAGCACCACTTCCGGTTTTCTGGTGATTTATTGGAGATAGGAGTCTCACAGTCTTTGCTGCCTGGGCCGGCTTTTAACCATGACCCTCAGATCTTAGTCTCCGGAGTAGCTAGGATTACAGGTGTGAGCCACCAGCGCCTGGCTAATCCCAATATATTTTTATCTTTTAAGCAGAGAGAGGCCAAGGTACCAAAATGTTAATTATCCCTAGGTTAATTAAAGTTATTTTTATTTCTAGACAGTCTTTTTTAAAATTTTCAGGGCTAGAGACAGAACCCAGGCTTAGCTTATTTTAGACAAGAGTTATATATGTTATAAATATTTTTATACAAATTTATATTAATTAGAATTTTTAAGGAAAAAAATCTAACAAGAGGGTGAAAACATTTATAGATCTTATAAACTAGTTACCTGTGGTATGCAGTCTGTGTATGCAAACATAGATTTAAAGCGGTCATCCATGCTTATATGGTAAAGTACACACATTGCAATCTGTTTGTAGTTTTCATTGCCTAAGGATAAAAAAGAAAAGGGTACAATGATACATGTGAGATCTATCTATTATTTTTTTCAAGTATAGTAAGTATATTTATTTTATTTTTTTAATTTTTTCTATTATTTTTAACATAGCATTCAAAGTACTTAGATAACTCTGATCTATAAAATGTATTACTTGATATATAAGTTCTGAAAAACAGGGCTCTGATTTACCACTTATTCCCTGCCTTGAGACTAGCACTTAATACAAAGTAGGTACTTAAGTAACGGTTGCCAATATTAATCATTAGGCATTCACCTATCACAGCAAGCGTCATAGTAAACTGAACTCAGGGCACTGAATCTTCAAAGCAATCTGTCAAACAGATCTTACATCTCTTCAGGTGAGGATCATGAGACTTAAGGAAAAAAAAAATACTTGCCTCATATCTTTTTAAATGATTGAGTAGGGATTTAAGAGGATTGTCTGCTTCCAACATCTTTATTGGGTTATCCTATAGTAATTATCTTAAATATTTTTATATCATAGGGTCAAACTATTTTTCACATAAACTGTTATCAGTCCTTTGGGACTGATATATGTAGTACAGTGCATTTTTAAAAATAATTATTTTTAAAAATAAAATATCTAGGAATTAGCTTAGCCAAAGATGTAAAGGAACTATTTGGTGAAAACTACAAAAACCTAAGGAAAGAAATCATAGAGGACACTAGGAAATGGAAAGACCTCCATGTTCTTGGATAGGAAGACTTAATATAGTGAAAATGGCCATACTGCCAAAAATGATGTACAAATTCAATGCAATTCCCATCAAAATCCCAATGATGTTCTTTACTGAAATAGAGAAAACAATCCCAAAATTCATATGGAACAGCAAAAAACCTAGAATAGCCAAAACAATTCTAGGCAAAAGAAACAACGTGAGAGGGATCACGATACCGGATTTCAAGCTCTACTATAGAGCCATAATAACAAAGACAGCATGGTACTGGCACAAAAACAGACCCCAAGACCAATACAGATTAGAAGATCCAGAAATAAAATCACATACACATAAGCCAGCTGATATTTGACAAAGGAGCCAAAGACATGCAGTGGAAGAAGCATACCCTCTTCAACTACTGGTGCTGGGAAAACTGGGTGGCCACATGCAGAAGACTAAGTGAACCCCAGCCTATCATCATGCACTAACATCAACTCAAAATGGATTAAAGATCTTAACATCAAATCTGAAACTCTGAAACTGCTGCAGGACAGAGTAGGAGAGACAGTAGGCAGGAACTTCCTGAACAAAGTCCCAGAGTCACAACAAATTGGAGAGAGACTCTACAAATGGGACTACCTGAAAATAAAAAGTTTCTGCATAGCTAAAGACATAGCTACCAAACTAGAAAGACAGGCAAGCAATTGGGAAAAGTACCAGCAATATATCAGACAAGGACCTAATATCCATTGTATATGGGGAACTCAAGAAACTAACCCCTCCCATATCTAACAAACCAATCACTAAACTGGCAAGGGAACTAAAGAGAGACTTCTCAGAAGAGATAACAACGGCAAAGAAACACATGAGGAAATGTTCGCTATCCCTGGCTATAAAAGAAATGCAAATAAAAACAACCCTGAGATACCACCATACCCCAGTCAGAATGGCCCACATCCTAAAGTCAGCCAACGACAAATGCTGGAGGGGATGCAGAGAAAGAGGAACCCTACTGCATTGCTTGTGGGAATGTATACTAATACAACCACTTTGGAAAACAGTCTGGAGATACCTCAGAAAGCTAGATATAGACCTCCCCTATGACCCAGCCATACCACTTCTAGGCCTCTACCCTGAGCAACAGGAACCAGGATACAAGGACACATGCACCTCCATGTTTACTGCAGCCCTGTTCACAATAGCCAAGATATGGAAACCACCCAGATGCCCCACCACAGATGAATGGATCAAAAAATTGTGATACCTATATACAATGGAATATTATGCAGCCATTAGAAAGGAGAAAATAATGGCATTCACAGGGAAATGGATGGAAGTAGAACAAATCATTTTGAGTGAGGTAAGCCAAGAGCTAAGAGACAAATGGCACATGGTGTCCCCGATATGTGGATGTTAAATCCAAACTGCAAGGAGATACGACAAAGTAAACAAGACTTGAGAAACAAAGGACCTCCACTCATCTGGTTGTATAGTTGCTGAAGGACTCCATGTTCTTGACTACATATACGGTATATACATGTGCACATCTGAGGGAAGCTAGGAAAAGGGAAATGGGAAAATATACAACAGAGGGACCCATCAGCTGCACTGGACCTAGATGAAAATGAACTAAGGCACTCAAGGGCAGCGATGGGAGGGAGGGAATGAGAGAGAAAGAGGGAACCGCTGACACTAAGCGAAACGAAAGAAAGGTTCATATCACCCAAATAGTTGTATTGTCAAAGCTCACAGAATTTACAAACATTATAGACCCTGATAATGACAGTCTGCCTTGTGAAGGTTAAAATGTGTTTGTGACTTTAACTATCATTATCTCACAACACTGTGAAACTGTGAAATTTATGTAACCACTTACTCACAATAAAAATTTAAAAATTATTTTTAATCTAGGCTTTATATATCTTTATAAAGTATTTTTAAAACCTATTTTCTACTGCTTATGTAAGTAATACAAGCAATAACTTCAGATACAATAATTAGTATTTTATATATTTCTCAGATGAAAAGATATTTTCACTAAAATCTGCAAGGTCACCAATTCAACTATGAAGAATACAATGTATTCAGGAAATACGTGTGTGTGTGTGTGTGTGTGTGTGTGTGTGTGTGTGTGTGTGTGTGTGTGTGTGTGTGTGTGTGTGTGTGTGTGTGTGTGTGTGTGTGTGTGTGTGTTACAAGGGTTGAACCCAAGGCCTAAAGTTTGCTAGTCTGGTGCTCTCCTACTTGAGCCACATCTCCAGCCTTGTTTTTTGCTGGACTGGACTCAAACTATGATCCTCCATATCTGAGGTACCTCCAGGATTGGGAGATATTTAAAATGCAAAAATGAAGCTAATATTCATATAAAATATAATATTTATACCAATGATTTGAAAGTAAGAACTGTATTTGGAGGGAAATGAAATGTAAAAATTATGAAGTAGAGGTAAATTAAATGTTTCTGATCTTAATATTTTAAGACTAGCACAATGGAAAGACTTGGAAAAAATTATATTAAGTGAAGTAAGCCAGGCCCAAAGAAACATAGGTCCCATAATTTCCTTTATTTGCAATAACTAGTATATGTCTGAGTCAAGCAGAAAAGGCAGATAAGTTGATGTTAGGGAAATGAACCCTAAGATATGTATTCAAATGTTTCTTTCATGTGATTGTTTCTAACACATTTATAAGATGATTTCTTTGTTGCTTTGTATGTCCCTCCCCCACGGTATAACCCCTGCTTTCACTGTATTTGATGTCAGTATAATTTGTGGAGGGGAAGGGAAAAAACAAATTGTTTAACTAGGGATACAGGTGGACCCATTGCAACAATGAGATGTACAAGATGTTATGTGGAAAATGAACTTTCCAACTTTGGTGGGATGGGGGAGGAGGATTGGTTGGGGGAGTGGGGGGAAGATGGGAAGGGATGGGAAGTGGAAACAAAGGAGGAGGCTACAATGCTTGATAAGAAATGTACTCGTTATCTTGCCCATGTAATTATAACCCCTCTGTACAGTATTTTCACACACACACACAAAAAGACTAGCACACTCTAAAGATTCACAGATTTATTTACTTATTTTCTTGGCACTTGTGCTGGGACTTGGGCACTATTTTGCTCAAGGCTAGCACTCTTACTACTTGAGCTCCACTTCAGCTTTTTGGTGGTTAATTAGAGATTAATGAATGTCCTCCTTCATTAATGCTGTTGAAATTATGTGCTTCGAGTTGTCTGTGAAAGAATTAGGCAAGAGAATGCTGGTAGAGCAATTAGCTTAGTGTCGGACACAAACTAAACCAACTCAATAAATATATCTTAGTATGCTGACAACAGTATTTTTCTGTTTTACCAGTAGAACCATGATACATAAGGTACTTCGTGTTTTTCTACCAAGACTGGTGCTATAACTAGAAATAAAGTCGGTTTGAGAGGAGCAGAGTGGGAGGTATATTCATAGCCTGTGACAGACCACCTGTCTTTTTTATCTACTAATCTTCCTGTAACGCTTGACGATTCCTCAATTGTGGAATTTAGAGTCATTTTATATGCAGGGCTCCACTCTGACCCGTATTTCATAAGAATTGACATAGTTTTGTGATTCTTATAGTTATAAGCTCCTTAAATAGCAAGCAATTGAGAAAAGAAAATAAACTCCTTCCTTGCCCTGCACATACAAATTATCTTTCCTCCTCCTGTGCTTCTCTGAGACAGAACAGTACTGCCTTTCACCTCTGGAGTGAGGCAGTGGTGTGTGCAGAGTTGATGGGTTACCAAGTGGACAAAAGGGTACTAGAGAAGTCTGAGATCATGGAAGACAAAACTCACAAGCTACCTACCATGCTTTACCTTTTTTTTTTTTTTTGCCAGTCCTGGGGCTTGAACTCAGGGCTTGATACTGTTCCTGAGCTGCTTTTGCTCAAGGCTAGCACTCTACCACTTGAGCCATAGTGCTACATCCTGCTTCTTCTGTTTATATGGTACTGAGGAATCGAACTCAGGGCTTCATGCATGCTAGGCAAACACTCTACCACTAAGACACATTCCCAGCCCTTCCTTTACCTTTAAACGGCATGTCCCAGATAAATAAAAGTTAGATGAGCAGAGGTATTACCCCTTATATCTTGTCTGAAACGAACTAGAGTAGAACTAGTGCTGTGAAAGGTGGTGATGACCGATCTAAGGGACTGTAATACTGTATTTAGAAGTCTATCTGACTCAAGCGGCTGATGTGTCTTCTGGATTTGTCTGGGTCAATTTCTCAGAACTTAAGCAATGATATATAAATATCTATGAAATTAATTTCTCC